ATTTATAATTTATATAAGTGAACAAAACAAAAATATTTTATACTTATATACCAGAGGAAATGCTCATAACAATTACTGTCCTCAATTAAGCAATGGGTCATGTCGCCAGTAACTACCTTCATCTCCAAGCCATTCCGTATTTCCTTTACCCTCAGAAAGTACCTCAGCTGGTCATGGTTGTTTGCCTGCTAGGGTAACCCAAACCTTCATTCCTGAAGAGTCTGGGGCATTAGTAGTCATGCCAGAATTGGGTTTCGGTAGTTTATCGTTTACTTTAAACATTGTACATTGTAGTAGTGCAGATGGTCTAAGGTACTTCCTGGATTCCAAATACAGTCTTTCTTTGCTGGGGGCATCGGGATAGCTAGAAACTACTTTGCAAAGGGACAGGGACACCCAGGGTCTTCCTTATTAGGGGTCAGGGATCTATCTATCTATATATATATAATCAAGTCTTTATGTTTTTTCTTACATAATATATTTTATACTATAGTACTCTATTTGGAATCTTCTGCTTATAGCTTATTAAGAGTCAGGATTAATCACACCACTCAATACAGTAGCCTTTTAAATAGCATTTTAGTTTAGAAGCATGGGGAGCCCAATATAGCCAGGAAGTGTTCATAATCACCAGTTCAGTGGAATCTGTGGGCAAATGGAAACTAAGACCTTTGGGACTAAGACCTTCAGGACAACAGAGCATAGCGTCTCATGAATGGGAGCAAAAATGTTGTCAATGGGCCACTTGTGAGTGCTGCAACTCCCATTTTCAGCCCTTAGTCCCTGGAACTATGAGTCTTGGTTACTGGAAAAAAGGTACCCCATATTGGCCACTAGTTTAATGCATATTTAGCCTTCTGTAGAACATCTCTTCAACCCTGTAAGGTACCTCGTTAGCATTGTAATTGTGTCTTTAGAAGGGCATTCAATCATTCTATTAAGCCACCTGCTTCAGGAGGGTGGGGAAGATGGTAGGACCAGTGGATTCCATGAGAATAGGTGTCTTGTTGCACTTCATTTTCTCTGAAGCAGATCCCTTGACCTGAGGTAATGTTGTGTGGGATACCATGCCCATGGAGGAGACATTCTATAAGTCCACAAATGGTAGTTTTGGAAGAAGCCTTGTATGCACAGAAAGCAAATCTATATGCCTAGTGTCTATTCCAGTAAAAACAAAACACTGCCCTTTTCATAATGGAACTAATCCCATGTAATCAACCTACCACGAGGTTGTTAGTTGATCTCCCTAAAGAATGGTCCCATATTTCTGACTCAGTGTTTGTTTCTGCTGCTGACCAATTGGGTACTCAGCAGTGCCAGTAGCCAAGTTGGCTTTAATGAGTGAAAGTCCATATCCATGGCCACTTTTTTCATGAACCCATTAGGCAAGAACAGGAGGTAGTAGAGAAAGAGGATGACTTGGTCAAACGATTGACCATAGCCCATGAATCAGTATACAGGTTAATATCTGGCCATTTCTATTTCTAATAAATATGAACATCAAGATTTACTGCCCAAAGTTTTGCTCATTGGGAGGATTTACCTTCACCACTGTCCTCCACGGAGAGCCCAGAGAAGGGATATTGTTCTCCTGCTGTCCACTTTTGAGTAGTACCTGCATGTCGTGCAGAAACCTCTAAACCAAGTAGAAGTTTTCTCTTCCTCGGTCAACTGATCATAAAAGACTCCCCATGGGGCCATAGGTGCAAACGGAGAGGATGATACTGTGGCAAGTAAGGAGATGATGGGTATTTGGGCCACTTCTTCATGCAGTGTACTTATACTTTCAGGTCCTGCTCTAGCAAGGTCTCTTGTATGTTAATTCCATTTAGTGATAGAATGCTGCTGTGCATATCCAACTTTACTACTTTGAGGGCCAGACAGTACCCAATTTGTGATGGATATAAGGCCCAGTAACAGACCAAAGCTGCTTCTAAAAAGGAGAATAGATTTTTGTAGAGGATAGTAGATTTTTGAATCCAAAATTCTAATAGTTTGCCCTATCATTAACCAATAGGGGCCTGTGATTTAGGTGAAAGTAAGAAAATTTTCCTCATGGTGTGCAATTTCACAAAAAATTTCTCATAGGTAAGCCCTTGTTACCCTAGAACAATTAGCCAGCTGCATTGTCATGATGGAAATAAATGATTAAATTTAATGAAAAAGCATTATGGTTGTATGCCTAAATTAATAAATCATTTGTTTTGTGTTTAAGTTCATTTTGTTTTGTTATTAAGCTGTTTTGATTGTTATTTTTATTGTGTTTTTTTTCTTGACAGGACAAAGTTTCCATAGATTTTATTTTCTCTCTAATTATATTTTTGTGTACTTATCAACATGATAATGATCCAAGAACCAGGTCATTAGTGTGAAATTGTGATGACAAATTATATTACAGAATGGAGGATGAATATATTATTATGAAAATTGTGCCTAAACAAGCTAACATATATTATTAGCCATTACAGACAGAATTACTCTTATCTCACACCTTAGTGTTCTTTACTTCCTGATACACATCAATAACATACAAAAAGTTGAATGGTTGATTTTTTTCACTATTGTCACAAGTGTGAAATGTGAGATGAAATCATTGAGATCCCAGTGTGGAGTGGGTGTATTTTTCTTGTAAACATCTGTAGTAATATCTATTTTTATAATTTATAAAATTACCACACAATATTTTATATAAAGACTACATATATTTAATAAAATTTACATTTAATAATACTTTAAAAATCTATTATGTCAAATTTTCATAAATAATTTAAAATATTTTTCTCTATTTCATAAATTGAAAAGCCCAGTCTTAAATAATAATCTTTATTTAATATGCTACAAGCAGAAGTTTACAAATAGAATACGATATGGAAAAAAATACAGAATATATTTTGTAAGAAAAGTATATGAAGATAAAATATATATCTAACCCTGACCCCTATTAAGGAAGGGCCCCATCATCCCAACAACCCCAGCAAGGAAGGCCCTGGGCATCCCTGTCCCTTTGAAATGTGGTTTCTAGTTAGCCCACTCCTTCAGCAAAGAAGGCTCCAGGCACCCCCACCACCAGATAAGGAAGGTTCTTGCCATCCCCCATCAGGGAAGGCCCCAGCTGTCCCCAGTAAAGGGCCAAGTAGGACGTGCTCATCCTGTGACCTGACAAGGAAGGCTCAACCCTTTCCATCCCAGGCAAGAGAGGCCTCAGACCTCACTATTCCCATGAAAGGCAGGCAATGATCATCCTAGCAGCCTGGCAAGGAAGCACTTGACTGTCCCTGAGATCAGGCAAAGAAGGTCCTGGACAGTACAGAGACCCAATAGGTTCAATGGCCCACCACACCCCAGCAGTGCACTCAAGACTAACAGGTGCACCAAGATGCTGCAGAAAAAAAGCAATCAATCAAAGTACACACAAAAAAGTAAAACAGTCACAAACAACTGAACAACACTCAGATGCAAAGTACTACTTGGAATAAGAGGCCCTAGAATGTACAAGAGATATAATTCAGGAGAATGGTCTTTAGATTCCTTCAAGTGATGGAGAAAAGAATGGAAAAACTAGAAACTCTACAGCAAATAGTGGTCCAGAAAAGAAATGAATAGATTGTAGAAGACAACATAGAAAATAACTAAGTAATAGGATCAAAGAAAAGGAAAGCCAAATCACTGAGCTCAAAGACACTTCTTTTGAATACAAATAACAAGAGAACAACAAAAAACAGCAAAGGAATCTGACGAAAACCTACAAATTATTTGGGCACCATAAAAAGTTCCAACCTATGTCTTATTGGAATCCTGGAGCAAGAAGAAAATGATATCTGCCGAAAAAAAAATCATACAAGAAAGTATGGAAGAGAACTTCCATCAACACTATAGGACAAAATAAGAGAGACCAACTTTACAAAAACAAGAAACAGAAATTTAAAAATTCCTTGATGCAAATGAGGATGAGAACACGACATACCAAAACCTTGGGACACAGCAAAAGTAGTTATCAGAAGGCAGTTTATAGCCATCAGTGCACATGTGAAAAAATGGGGATAAAACTGCCTTTTCAGAGCATTTTTAACAACTAGTACATGAACAACAAAATAAACCCTCAACTAGCAGGAGCAAAGAATTTACAAAGAATCGAGCAGAAAAAATGAACCGAGAAACAGGAAAGCAACGGAAAACTAACCAGAAAAGAAATTCACAAGCCATTGGCACCTTTAACAAGGGAAAAACCAGATGGCCACATGTTGAATTAGAAATGAAAAGAGTGACGTCACATGAGAAGTAAATAGAAGTGAAAGAATAATCACACACCATCATGAAAAACTGTACTCCAAAGTATTTTGAAAAACTCGATGACATTGACAAATTTCTAGAAACACAATTTACCCAAATTATTGCAGACTGAGGGAGAAAATGTCAATAGACCCATGGCACAGGGGAAATAGAGCAGGCCATTAAAAAAGTTAAAACCATGAAAATTCAAGGACCAGATGGTTTTACTGGGAAATTCTACCAAGTATTCGAAGAGGGATCGTCATGAATTCTACACAGATTATTCCATCATACGGAAAATGATAGCAAAGTCCCAAATTTATTTTGTGCATCTGGCTTAACTCTGATACCAAAACCAGACAAAAACACCACAAAGATGGAAAACTGCACACCAATATCTCTTATGACCATGGATGCAAAAATTAACAACAGATTACTCACCATCTATCAAAAAATAATGCACTATGGTCAAATGGGATTTATGCCAGGTAAAGAAGTGTGATTCAACATTAGAACATATATCTAAAGATTGAAAATAAATACATGTCCTTTATATGTACATAATATATTTCATTTACATAAAATATATATTAAACTTTGGAAAACACCTTTTGGATTAAAATTTATCTATGCCACTACTGAATTACTTTATTTCTACACTTTATGATTTAATTAGTATATTCTTGAAATAAAATTTTTGTAAAAATTAAAAAGTACTCTTATGTTTTCAGACTTAAATACAGCTTTGTTTGTAAAGCAACGAGCTGCTCCTCAACATAAAGGCCTCTTGATCAGTTTATACGTTTTTTTGCCTTTCCTTGTTTTAACTGCCATTATCATTCTAAAATGGAATACAGTGAAGGGATTATGGAACAGAGGAAAAGCAGTCAGTGGAGGGTAAGTATATTGACCTATTTTGATATTTAATATTATAAATCAATATAAGAAGAGTGAAAATCAAACTATATAAGTCTGTAGTCAGTTATGTATTACATGAGTGAAAACATTTAGTGATAATGTGTCAATATATATCAAGTTATGCTCAGATTCTTTATGTTCATAGATATAATCACTGTAGCTGCTCAGTAAATAGTCAATGCCTTTCAAATAGAATCATAGGCTGACTATGATTGGCATTCGGTTTTTCTCTCATTGGCATTCGCTTTCTCCAATGAGATGTATTACCAAAAAAATAAAAGGCATAGAAGCTTGTTTTATGCGTAAAATACATGGAAAGAGAGAAAAAACAAGATATGACAAAAAATTTAGGCAGGGGACACAACAGGATTCTCCATTTTACATATAATGTTGCACATAATTTCTAAAATCATAATTAAGAATACACATGCATAGTATTTTTCCTCATCGCTATCTTAAAATAGGGTATAATCTTCTAATCCACATTTAGAGAAAAGAAAATTCAAAAATAGGTTCTTGTTTTTGTCCACCAAAGGCCGATGGCCCTCGGGTCCGCGGTTTTGTAGAGGGACATAAAGTAACAAACATTCCAACGTCCCTTTACATGCCAACTTGTTTAATTTTACTGACCAACAAGTTAGCAAAGCCTATTAAATGCAGGCCATCATACTGCATTATTGATATCTATCTATCTATCTATCTATCTATCTATCTATCTATCTATCTATCTATCTATCATTAATCTGCTAAACCATACATTATTTTTACATGACTAAAGTAGATGGTCTAACATAGGTCTTTCCGGTGCTCTTTCTGAATGCATCTTGCAAAAATTATGAAGAGTGGCTAGAGATGAAATCTTAATTTTGGCAGTGTTGTGGTAAAGGATCCCCAGGTGAGAATCACCACTTTCGGGCCGTCAGAGAATGACTGCCAGAGGGAACATAAGGGGTGTCACAGGGCTGCCAAAGGCTGAGCTGTCCTGGGGAGCTGAAGCGCAGAGGATGAGAGTGAGCCGAATGGTCGCCAAGTACAGCCCTTCTCTCCGTCACTGACAGGTTCCATGATTGACATCATTTTTTCTTGTCTGTAACTGCTGTTGACAAAATGACTGTTTCTATTTGCAAATTGTCTAGCACAACCTTCTCAACCCTTTTCTATAGTCATTTTCAAGTAAAATATCAATAATCTGTCCATAGTCAGTGCCTTTCAGTTCATAATCGTAATAGATAGAAACAACTAGCTGGAAAGTGTACCTGAATTCAGCTAGAATTCAGAACTGTAAATCTTGCCCCAGATGTTCAAACCTGAGTCCGTCACCTGTAAGCAACAGGCCGTTGGTATATGAGCCAGGTATATCATCCGCCTACCAGGACCTTTCAATAAGGACTACCTCCACTCTAATAGGGACCATACATAGAAATAATTGCAAAGAAAAATGGAAGCTGTAAAAATACCATTACATGTAACTAAAAGATAAAGAGCCCTCATGATGAAAGAATGAAAATGAAATTCTATTGGAACTAATTCTTTGCCTATTTATATGTAAAGATAAAAAAGAAATTCCATTGCAATGAATTCTATTGCAACGAATTCTATACTTGTTTATATGCCACATGGATGAAAATATATAAATTTGACATTTTAATTGCAAATTAATGTCTTAACTCTGCAGAAGCTATATCATATGACATGTTCCATATAAATATAGCAGAGGAAAAATATGAAGTTCGATTTTAGTTAAAATTTTAAATTGCTTAAATGCCTTGAAATATAGACCGCCATTCAAAAATGAGCAAACACAGGAGCTCAGAATAGAACATGGGACGTCAAGTCAACATTAGTGCATATTAACTGAGTTCTTCACACAAATAAGTGTATCAAGATTTCAATGTTTCCTACTCCAACAAATGCTATGGTTTTTACCCCCAGATCTGTATTAGAAGACAGCAACAGTAACAGCAGCCTTACTGAGAGGTATGTGTGAATTACAGAAAGCTAAATGTTGACAAAATGAAAACAATATGACCAGTTGGTTTCTATTTTTTAACAAAATCTGAGTATGTTGTTGCTGTTTTTATTAGGTGCTATCCAGTGAGTGTCAAAACATGGAAACACTCCATACAACAGAACACTGCCTGTCTCCACACCCGTCTTGCATATTTCTTTTTCTGTCCAGGCACCTGGCTACTTCAACTATATCTATCTCATTGCTAGTCCGTTAGACGTTTAGTTTTGTTTGCAGTGAGATGGAATCCACACTGAAGGCTGTTGCCTTTGATTCTCATGTGTGTTTCAAATCGTCTTTCCATTCATCATGCAAGCTGTGTCATCTATACAGCGCAGGTTGCTAATGAACCCCTAGTCCTGATGATCTTCATATAGTCAAGCTTCCCAAATGATACGATCAGCATGCAGACTGAAAAATATTTTGAAATGCTCAAACCCGACACTTATTTTTCCTGGTTTTAAACGAAGTGGTTGCCTCTCAGTCCTTGTCCAGGTTGTGCTCGAACACGATGAAAGGCTCTGGGGTTGATTTTTTCTCTAAGTTGATAAAACTATGTTATGATCTACATCGTCAAATACCTTTGCATATTCAATAAAACATAGGTTAGCTCCTTTCTGCTATTCTCTGCTTTCAGCCAAGGTCCATCTGAGGTCACCAATGATGTCCCTAGTTTTAGTCTTCTGAAATGATCTTGAACTTCTGACAGCTTGCCAACGATGCGCTGGTGCACCAGCTTGTAGTTATTATCTTCATCAGAATTTTACTCGTGTGTGACAATAATGATCTTGTGTAACCATTTTCACAATATTCTGGCCACCTTTATTTGGAATGAATGTAAGTAAATATGGATCTCTTAACAGTAGACTGGCCAGGTAGCTGTCTCCCAATTTTCTTGGCATAGAACAATGAGTGCTTCAACTTTTTGAAACGTTTAATTGGCATCCTATCAAATCCCGACATCTTGTTTTTCACAAATGTCTTCTGTGCAGCTTAGACTTCTTCCTTCAGCAACACTGGTTTATAATCATGTGCCACCATCTGAAATGGCTGAGTGCCAACCAATGTTTTTTGGTAAAATAAATACATTTTGATATGCTTTCTCTAGTCTTTTTATGATTCATGCATCATCCAATATTTTTCCCACAAAATCTCTCAATATTATAACTCCAAGATTGATTTTTATATAGTCCTTTCCATTTAAGATATTCTGAATATATGCTTCCTGGTTGGATTTATGATTTGTAGTCTTTGCACATTTAGTTATAATATTTTATTTTGCAAAGTAGTGCTCTTCCAAATTGCTAGGCATAGACTAGTGCGAGGTTCCAGTTTTGTATTAGTTTGTGGAAACATTGCAGGTGACAGTCTGTCAGCTTCTGGAGACTTAGTTTCCCGAATGCCCTTAGGGTAGTTTGGACTTCTTCCTTCCGGGCAACACGTATGCTGCCTCTCGACAACTGCTGCCTGTCTACCCGTTCTTTCTGAGGTATTCCTTCCATCTTGTTTCCAGATGCCTTTTCGGGTTTTTTTTAATGACTTTCTCAATGCTTGCACCCCATTTGCATTTGACAAAGAGGCTATGCTTAGAATCTGTATGGAATGCAGGGAGAAATTATTGGCCCCGAGGATGAATGTAGTTCTAAGTAGATTGTATGGAGAGAAGCTTATACAAAGAATCAGAGACTTCTCTTGGGCACTTATGGAAAAAGTATCAATAAAATGTCTTGTGAAGCTTATTTTCTCTTTGTCAGCTGTCCATCTCTCTCTCATTGAGATGGTTAATATCATGTGGCATTTTGTGGGAGAGGCTGTTGGTGCCAGAATAGGGTAGAGAAAGATGGATAGCAGAAGCTTGTCTGATCTCTTCATTGTGGCAATCGGCCTTAGTCTGGCTGGTGTGGAGATGTAGTCTCCCTTTCATTTGTGTAACCAGAGGAGGTCAGATGTAGCCTCTGTGCCATTTTGCACTTAATGAAGACATCTCTAGAGAACAAGTTATAATTCTGGATTGTGCTTACCTTGCACACAATCAAAGAAGAGTGTTTTCCTGGTTTTGAGAAGTATGAAAGTGGTTGCTGTTGATTTGGCCGTCCCAACATCCGTGAAGCACGCCCATGGGGCTGGGACTTTTTCCAAGTTTTCCAAGGAATACCAAGAGGCATTCCTTTAATTCCTCTTGCCTCGAGCCCCGGCGCTGCTCTCATTCCATCTTCTTCTGATCAGTAAAATAGCCAAGAGACTACTGAGTATACAAATGCAGGAAAGGAGTGATGAAGCCGGGGTGATACGCAGGAAAGAAACAAAGCATCTCAACAGAGGAAACAGTGGTGGAGGGACTGGAGTTGTAACTAGGCGGCTGCATTTGGTTGAGAGTAAAAGATAGAATCAGACTTCCATGTTCTCACGCAGTTAATGGTGACATCTTTTGCCAATGACACATAGTATAGTGGGCTAAGAGCTAATTCAAATAATGGGTTTTGAACATTGATAACTGTAGTGAGACACCTGTTGGAAATGCAAGTGGTTTTTTTGGAAGTAGTCTTCATCTACAAATAAGTATGATCTAATGATTACTTATTGTTTTTCCTTCTTCACATATTTTTTTGGGTCAATTTCTCCACTAATGACCTTCTTTTAGCTATATAAAGCTAAACACTATGTAAAGAAACATATATAAATACCAAATTTACAATGTTTCCTTTTAATGGCATTGTTACATTTTTTTAGGAAAATAGATGTGGATTTACAGATTACATGGATCACAGGGATTAATGATCTCAATAGTTTATATTTTGTTGTTGTTGGATAGTCTCAGGATAGTTCCACCACACAGCAAGTCAATGTACAAGAGAATGACCCACTGCACTGTGCGGCCCATCCTCAGCATTGCTGTTATGTGTGAGCTCAGGGCTGTAGCAGTTGGGTCAATTCCTATCAGCTAGGGCAGCGGTTCTCAACCTGTGGGTTGCAACCCTTTTGAGAGTCGAAAGGCCCTTTCACAGGGGTCGCCTAAGACCATCGGAAAACACATAATTCTGATGGTCTTGGGAACCGAGACATCTATCCGTTTCCAGGCGGGTCTGCCCACATGCAGATACACCCACATATGAGTACCCGGCGTGAAGACTGTTACCCATGCTACGCCATGCTTTAAGGCAAAATTTCATTTATTTGTCATTAGAAATAAATATTTCACAATATATAATTATGTATTGTTTTGTGATGAATCACTATGCTTTAATTATGTTCAGTTTGTAACAATGAAAATATATCCTGCGTATCAGATATTTACATTACCATTCATAACAGTAGCGAAATGACAGTTATGAAGTAGCAATGAAAATAATTTTATGGTTGGGGTCCCCACAACACCAGGAACTGTATGAAAGGGTCGCGGTATTAGGAAGGTTGAGAACCACTGCTCTAGGGTCTTCCACATGTTCCCTCACTTTCAACTTTGCCAAGCATCAGGTCCTTTCCCAGACATGGCTCATTCCTGATAACACGTCCAAAGTACATGAGATGAAGTCTTACCATTCTCGGTTCTAATGGGAATTCTAGCTGTCCTTCTTCCAAGACAGATTGTTTGTTCTTCTGGTAGTCCCTGGGCACTTTCAATAGTCTTTGCCAGCACCATAATTCGAATGCATCAGTTCTTCCTCAGTCTTTTCAGTCAGTATCCACCTTTCACATACAGATGAGGTGATACCATGGGTTGGGACAGGAGCACCATAGTCCTCAAGGTAGCACCTCTGCTTTCAACACTTTAGTGAGGTCTTATACTGTAGATTTGCCCCACGCAATGGGTCATTTGGTCTCTTGACTGCTGCTTCCAGGAGCATTGATTGTGAATCCAAGCAAGCTAAAATATGCAGCAACCTCATCCTTTTCTCTGTTTATCTTGCTGTTACCTATTGGTCCAGATATGAGTATTTTTGTTTTCTATATAATAAATTGTAATCTGAGATAGTTATGGTTTATTGTACCAACCTGGATGAAAAACACAGGTGGGATTAATTGAAGGGCGGGGAGATAAAATGGCTCGGTGAGCCTCACCTTCTAGTTCTCGGGTCTCTTGCTTCCTGATGGTTGGACCAGGGTGCAGCTGCCTTAGCCAGTTCCCTGCTTCAGCTAGCAAGGCTCACTTCCTGCAAGACACCGAGGAGAAGCCACATGGACCTACCCTGATGCAGCCCTGGGTGCTGGAGCAGCCGCGTGGGGACCCCTGCCAGTGCTGAGATGCTTACATATTCACTGACTCGGCTTTCCTTCTGCAGTGGGCATCACTGCGTGTGTTTTTGTGAGATTGAGGAAGACTTTGTAGATTGGTGTCGGACATATAGGCTAATGTTGGACTTATGGGCTTGGACAACACTGGGTTTGGATGCTTTCTTAAAGTACACTTACCTTTGTATAAAACTCTCTCTTGTACATATGAGTTTCTGTGACTTTGTTTCTCTAGCTTACCTAGACTAACACATAAGCCATGTTGAAGGCTATACTATTTGATATTCATCAGCAAGGTCTTCTAATCCTCCTCACTTTCAGCAAGCAAGTTAAGTTATCAGCATATCACAAATAGTTAATTAGCCTTCCTCCAATCCTGATGTAGTATTCTGCTTCATTTAGTTCAGCTACTCCGATTATTTGCTCATCATTCAGATGAATAAGTATGGTTGGAGGATACAACCCTGACACAAACCTTTGTTCATTTTAAACCATACAATATTTCCTTGTTCTGTTCCATAGATTACCTCTTGGTCTGTGGATAGCTTCCTAATGAACACAATTAATTGTTCGGGAATTTCCACCTTTCTCAAGGTTATCCACAGTCTTTTGTTTGTGTTCCATGGAGTCGAATGCCTTTGAACAGTCTTTACAACAGATTAGACATCTTTATGGCCCTCTCTTCTTGAGTGACGTCCATCTGATGCCAACAACAACTTTCTTTGTTCCATGTCCTCTTCAGAATCTGCCCGAACCTGTGGTGAACAATGTACAGATGTGATCACTGCTGAATGATCTTCATAAAAGTTTTAATTACATGTGAGAGTAATTCTATTGTTGGATAATTTCTGCATTCTGTTGGATCATCTTCCTTTAAAAGGGCTACAAATATTGATTTCTCCTAGTAAGTTGCCTGGGGAACTGCCTTCCAAATTACTTGGCATTGGTAATTGAGTACTGTCAATGCTTCATCAACTGTTTGAAACATTTAAATTGGCATTTCATGAATTCCTGGAGCCTTTTCTTTGTTTTTGTTTCTTTGAGTTTGCTAATGCCTTTAGAGCACATTGGAATTTTCCCTTCAGTACCACAGATTCTTGATCATAAGCTACCTCTTGAAATGTTGAATATCAAACAGTTCTTTTTGGTGAAATGACTCTGTGTATTTCTTCCATCTTTTCCCCCCAGCGGTTTTATTGGTATTTAATTCACATATCTTGCAATTCAATAGTTCAATCATATCAAGAAGAGTTGTACAGTCATCACCACAGTTTTAGAACATTTTCTTCATTCTTGTATTCAGCATTATTAGTGTTCCATTTCCTCCCATCCTCCCTGTCATGCCCCCAAATAACCATCCATCCTCAGGTACGAGCTCTATATCTTTCCCAGTCCTGGTTTCCATAAACAGAAAAATATTAAACAAGCAACCAAAAAAACCAAAACAAGAATAACAAATTAAAACAGATAAAAACCTCAATAGAAAAGAAAGCAGAAAATATAAAACACTAGAACACATTTAAATGGATCATAAGGAAGATCAAATGATAGGGTGCTAACTTTTAACCTAACTGTACCTGCAGCAATCCACTTTCTAATGCACTCTGCGTGTTAACAGGGTGATTCACATGCCTGGTTCATGATCAGAGGGGTTCCACCATGGCTTAATCTTCTTCACTTTTTTTTTTTAGCTGCAACAATTTAAAAATGGTTGACAAGGAGATCTAATTGTAAGATATTACATTTTAACCTAACTACATCTGCCAGAACATATTTGCAATGTTCTCTGTCTGATGACAAGGCTATTCACATTTCTCACTCGGATCAGAGGGCATTCACGGGAGGCATAACCCATGTGTGGCCCTGCAAAAGGATTTCAGGCTTCCCCTCTCCTCCATACCCTTCTGCAAATCATCTGTTATTCGATGCTTTCTTCTCTGTATGATATTTTGCCCATAGAATCTTCTTGTACTGCAACGCAAGTTGCCTTATTTATACTAATTTTAATTGAGGTTCCTATTGTTACATAGTTAAATCATTCTGTTTTTCTTAACAATGTGTTTGTTTTACAGCAGCTACTAAGCATTGATGTCAAGAAGCCACAGGAGAACAAAAGGATATTACCAAGAAAGTAACCACGAATGACGCTTATTCAAGAGTGAAAAAAATCTGCTCATATATCCTTTTGTTAAGGTATAGGGTTTTCAAGTTCATCAGTGAAAATAAATCCTCTGAAATTATACAAGCATCTATCTATTGATTTTTGCAACCACTGCGATCTGTTAGTTAAAAATAATGACATTGGCATTATCTTAACTCCAGAGATGGTTATTTTATCCCAAGATCAAAACAGTCCACTGCTGCTGGAGGCCTTAAGCTGCCTATAATCACACTGACTGCTCTAATCTCAGAATCAAAAGTTCATATTTCTTCAGTAGCTTATTATGCTGCTCTCCTGTACATTCCAGAATTTTGAATACTCAAAAACCAAACTCCCTGCCATCAAATAAATTCTGATTCATAGTGACATTATGGGGCATAATTGGACCTCCTCCTGAGGGTTTCCGAAGCTATACATCTTAAGGGAGCATCTTTCTGCCATGGAACAATGGGTGGCGACCTTGGGCTTGTCAGTCCAAAGCACAACCCACTGGGTCACATGCAAAGGACATTACATCTTGGTAAGGCCATACTGAGCACTGCATCCATGTAAATTGTAACTATGGTATATCTTTGCCATTTGGAGGAACCCAAAATTGCTCTCTTCACAGATGTCAGATTATTCTAGGTAACATTTTCCCCTTCTGTTCTCCATCACCCATTTTCCTACCTTCCTGAGATGGGTGTATTTCCGCCTATTTAATGGTGTTGTGAATGGGCAGGGGTGCAACAGCCAATCTGGAGACTGTTGAGGACTCCTGGGGATGTAGTGGTGAGTTTATGGCAGTGAGGTTCTATTTATTCTTCAATGACCTGGGGTTTATTAGAGCCAACAAAGTCTTCGTGAAAAGGAAAGCTCCTCCGAGGCCAGGGGTGTAAGGACCTCATTACATAGGCTCAGAGTGTCCTGACCAAGTCCATACAGCTCTGCAATGACTAATGAGCTGTTTGACTCGATTGTGCAGCCATTCAATTTACCACAGAAGACCTCTAGGGTTATAGCTTTAACAGACCAAGTTAGTTTGTAGAGAGAAAGAATAACATGTTCCTGTCAAGAATTACTTTTATTTCTGTTAAATTTTTATGCCATATTTTTTAAAGGGAAGGAAATAAACTGATATTAAGAATGAGATAGGTAATGATGGCAACATATGTCCAAATGTGCTGGATACAATGGATGTATGGAATGTTATAAGAGCTGTAAGAGCCCCCAATAAGATGATTTATTAAAATAAAAAATTTTTAAAAGAAGCTGTAAGATACTTTCCAGACAATAAATTCATGTGCTTACAAATTAAAAAAAAAAAAAGGAATGAGATGTTTTGGAAGAAGTAAAACATTGCTTATTAGATGAAAAAATAAATGAAGAATGGACATTGTGGGGTCAGAGTTCGCCCAGTTTGCCCGGCACGGCTCACACAGCTGGAGTCAAGATGAAGGAGTGGGCGCCCTTGACCGTTGCCCGTGGAGCATTGTAGATGACTGTGATGGAGCCTCCACACTGGGCACCATAGGTGGGGGTCTCTTCCAAGCAACCAAAGGTTTTTGCAATTCTCCAGTGGGAGTCAACCGTAGACTACGAGGAAGTTGGACAGTAATTAAAACCAGGGCACCACCGTCGGGAGGCAGCTTTGTGATTTGGGGAGGCTTGTTTCCATGATTGACTGCAGTATAGTTCAAGTCGGAGACAAAGAAGACCCCTGGAGCTCCATCACACGTGGTGCCTTAACTTACTGCAGCATGAAATCGACTGGTGGTCATGGGTGGGTCACCTTCAATGAGTGACATTCTCCTGCCTTGTACCAACAAGGAGCTGGCATCTTGTTGACAAGATTTGTCTCCGTGCAGTTTCCCAATGGTCCTCAGTCTGCTGAAGATCCCTCCCAGGTGCCTTCAACCGCGTTCCCATCCTCACCTTTGGAGACTGTAGAAGTCACCCGTCAGGACTGCGGCCCCTGGATTGAGCAGAATGGGCTACAGTTTAAGAAGGCTTTTGGAAGACTGAGTTACAGTCTGTTTTTGAAGCAATAGGTGGGGAAACTGGCTAAATAGGCTCTGAGAAGCTATTGAGCCCTTTTTTTCTTCCCTATTTAAAGGAATGTGGGCAGGAAGTATTAAAAGATAAACTGCATTTTTAAAACTCATACTTGGATTGCATTGTGATCAAAATAAAGGTGGACTAGCATAAAAAGAAAAATCTCTACATGCTTCGAAGAGGAAGGACCACAGGGCAGATCCCAGTGAAACATGACCACCATTTCCTCCGGGACTTCTCTGCCTGGTTTTCGTGTGCTACTTTCAAACAATAAAAAACTTTTGGAACTTGCTTTTTATTTTTAGAACAAAAAAAGGAAAACATCTCAGAAATGATAGAATTTAAGCATAAGGGAATAATTGGAAATGCATGTTAATGGTTACTCATTATTCTTCTATTGTTGTATTCTATATCATCTCACTTTGGGTGAATGAACTTTTCGATAAAGTTAATTCTGGGACAAAATTTGTCTCCATATATTTCACTTAGAATAAAAGTTACCTGTTTCCATTATACAATAATGGCATAAGAATAGAGTTAAAATTCTCTTTATGAAAGGGATAAATCCAGGGATCATGACTCTAATTAAAGTTCAGATGCTACTAGGTAAAAATAATCCTCTACCTCTGTGCTGACTCTCTAGATTAACTTGGGCCCTGATTCTCAGTGGTATGTGCTCATGTCTTTTCCTTTTGTGGTACATTGACAGCTGACGCATAGACCCAAGGTGGCAGTAAGCCTGTCTCCTGCATCTAGAATAGAAATTATGTGTGTCTGCACCACTCGGGATTAATCTTTCATTTGGTTAAAAGATAACACGTGTTTATAGCTTAGTAACTCCATTGATCTCTCTCTCTCTCTCTCTCTTTGGTATAAAGACGCCCAGTCATTTGATAACCTTGGTTTACTTCATTCTAACTATCCCTTTCCATCAATGTTTACAAATTTTCTGTTCAGGTGATAGATTGGCTCAATATATCACATCTTCTCTTTTTAATGAATAGTTGTCCAGTCACTCCCTTGATGATCTCTCCAGAGTATATATGTGTTCTAAATTTTTACCACGTGTTTAGGCTGAGAATTTTCAAATTCTTAAATATCTGTTTCCTACTGGACACCTTATTCTTCAATTTATCACTTTGGGTATCTAGAAATCTTCAATTAATATTCAAGACTATTTACTTTTCACAAAACATTCAAACACAATTCAACAAGATTCCTTTCCACTTTCTAACAAGGATCATCTTTCCTCCAGTATTTAGTAGCATATTACATGTTTTGTTTTGTACAATTACTACATAATGTCGAATTCGTGACAATATTCTGTTCGTGACAAGAAAGAAAATGTTTTGAAAATGATGATGGCAACAAATGTACAAATGTGCTTGACACAATAGATTATTTATGGATTGTGATGAGAGTTGTACGAACCCCCAATAAAATGATTTTTAAACACCTCTCCTTACTTTCTGAGTTATCATTGACACTGCCTTTAGTATCCATAACTCTCATAACAGGCTCAAGCCAATCTCGACTGTTCCAAGCATGCTCCTAAATTTTCCCATCTCTAGCATTACCCAACGCCAAAATCCCTTTCAATTTTTTGTGATTTTTTTATACCAGCTCCTCACTTTTTGGCACTAATACTTTTGGGTGTTTATTTAAGGCTGCTTTAACAAAATACCACAAATTCAGTGACTTCTAAGAGAGAAACTTGTTGTCTCACAGTTTGGGAGACTTAATTAGAATTCAAACTGTCAAGGAATGAAGACTCTGTCCTGCCCTGCTTCTGGTACTACCAGGTATTTCTTTGCTTTTTGTTGCATCTTAACAGAGACCGTTTTTAACTGTTTGTCTCTTGGTGCTTCTTTCAGCTTTTTCAAGAACATCAGTCAAATGGGAATAAAAGCTCCCTATTCTGATATGACTTCATAGCAGCGAAAGCGATAAGATCCAAAGACCCTGCCTCAGAAATACCTGGGATCAGGGCTGTCATGCACATTTTGGGGGGGCACAATTCAATCCATTACATTGTATGCTCTCAGACCACAATGGAATTAAATGACAAAGTAGTAACAGGAAGAGCTAGGCTTCCCCCCAATTTTGGAGATTAGACAACTACTTCTAAATCACACATGGGTAGACGGAGATGGAAAATCAATCCTTT